TCTACTGCTTCCAAGCATTACCCGCGTTTTTATTACTCAATGATAATAAACATGTCGTAAGATATCGACTGAAAACATTCATAGAATCAGTCCCCTGTCTTATTCGATTCGATTATTACGATTATTGTTTCGTATATTCGATAATGCCAGGTATTCCCTTTATGTGTGGCATGGGTAGATACCGTCTCTGTCCACATAATATAGTGGCTCTATATATAAAATTCTGTTTTAGTAGGTAGACATGTTTGAACCCAGAAATGTTTGCGGTACGCATTGCTAAGTAACATTTAGTCATCGAAATTTGAGGTCATAGTAGGAAATTATAATTCAAATAAAACACTTTAACGGTTTAAAACGCGATATATTAGTTCTTTAACTAATATATCGCGTTATAAACCGTTAAAGTGTTTTATTTAAATATGTACTACACGCGTAAACTATAGACAGTATTTAATTATAATTCAAATTAATTTTTAGTTCCAATCTTAAAAAACTAACGTAAACTTACACTGTTATACAACCTGTAGTCTTACTATATATTAACATAATGTACACAGTAGTAGTTCAGCCGTTTGGTGTCCACTCCTGGATAAAGACCTCCCCAAGTTCGACATCACTACATAATATAAAACAAAGTCGTTTTTTCTGTCTCTATGTGTCTTAAATCTTTAAAACTACGCGGTTTTTGATGTAATTTTTAATACATAGAGTAATTTAAGAGGAAGGTTTTTTTGTAAAGTATTTAGTATCAGCATTGCATCCGAGCGAGGCCGGGGCGGGTCGCTAATAATAAATAATACACATAATATATAGTACAGAAAACTAGGTCATTTAAAATTTATGTACAGGAAAATAATTAAGCTGTAGGAACTACCCGTTTTCTTTAAATAAGCAGTTCCACTTAAACTATAAATTACAAACGTAGCAGTGCAACGCAATAAGCCAATGGAACTCCGCGGCGCGCAATATTATTTATTGCTAACAATTTTGCTTACAGCGGAAAATATTGCGGTACATTTTTCCGTAGCGCGTCTTGAAACTCCTAATTTCTAATGGGCCATTTGCCACTTTGTCAATGGCTTCAATAAATCTGTGCGGGTCACTGCTTCCGCTGAGTTATCGGTGCTGTCTCGAGTTAAACGTCGCTGTATTCTTTGTTTCCCTTCTGATTTATATTGCCTGTGTATCACACCGTGATTGACAACAAATTTTATCTCATTTGAAATACTAAGTGACGTTTCTATGATTTATTTTAGATTGAGCGTGAAAACATTTTCTTTGCATGCTCCGTGTTGACTTTAAGGTAGTAAATAAATTGAATTAAAAAGTTTAGATTGAAAAAATTACGATACGTAACCGCACCGTTTCTCTAACCGATTGAGCTACTGTGTCCTACACGTCGTGCTCGAATTTTTTCAACCTTGACACATGCAACTCTCGCGCTGTGTAATTTCAATCTTAAAAAAATTGCATTATAGTTCAATACATTATAATAAATAAAGTGCAATAACGTGAAAAATATATAAGTTGGTAGTTAGCGTTCGCTTGAATTAATTAATTAGGAGTTCGATTCTCGATCGCGCTCGAAAATTTTTTTTTCTGAATTTCGTTATGATACATGCTATCTGGTGTAGGAAAAAGTAGAAACTACATTTTTAAGTCTAATTTATGGACTATTAAAATCAAAGCCTCGTCTTGTGCCAATTGTATATTGACCATATAATAAAAGGAGGCTATAAGCTATAAAATGGCAGATAATAAATATTCTATTTTCGATAACAATTGACTGTCAGCAATGGACGTAAAAGTTGGTATACAACGAATTTTAATTAGAATTGAAACGAAAACATCGATTGAAATGATTTTATTGGAGTAGTTCGATTCCATTCTATCTAACAAATGGCTTTTTACTCGAGCTGGCTAAGTGCAAAGTTGGAATGGCCGAAGTCTATTTTGGAAAAACGTTTCAAGCCAAGTTTTGAATAACGTTTGAATTCACCACTAATAGGATTTTGGCGATGTATTTTACGTACAGTATTTTTTACTTGTGAACGTAAAAAGTATTATAAGTAAGATAAAATTTATATAAACGAGATGACAATCTATACAAAATATTTTTAATATTATGAGTCGTCAAACTTTTTCTTGTAAAATAAATATAGTACAAATTGGTTTACGTATATATATAAATATATAAATTTCGATGGAGCAAGATTCGAATATTAGTATAAGGAATAAGTCTTTAATGCACTTCGTTGCAGTAGAAACTACTGATGAGTAGAGCATTGAAAAATATAAAAAATATATTTTTAGATATAGTATCCATAATATACAAATGCCTCTTAGGTTAGGTTAGGTTAAAACTCTTTATTGAACATATTTACAGAAAGTAGAACACATACGCTTAAATGTAAAGTATATAAAAAGATTACTTACTTTATTACAAGCTTCCTTATTATTTTTTATATCAGTTAGATCATGATAAAAAATAACGAAAACGCGCCAAAATCCTTTAATTTCGAATATCTCTACAGGTTTTACTGTTTTACTTTATATATAGATTACAACTACAAAAGAGCGTTCCTCATATATACACTATTCCCACTAGCTCTTTACCACCCTGTATAATTCAACAGCTAAATCCGTACACGGACAACGCGTATATCAGACACGCTGATTTCCTGCTGCCTTTATTCCTTGAATTTTGGATGAACGTCAGAGTTAGCCGGCTTAACTTGGACAGCAACTACATTACAGAGTTTGATTTAGATAATTCTAACCGTCCTTTAAACGATGTCGCGTTTAAAGTTTCATTTAGCTTAAGCTACTTTTGGTGCTAGATTATAAAACTAATTAATTATATATCTTAGCATATCATTGTCTTTGATATTCATACATGAAAAAACACTTTTAACGGTTTAAAACGCTATATATATTTGTTTACTTGTTTTAGCTCCGACTCGACGCTTTTGATGCTTTGTGGCATTGTACTCGTGACGATGGGAGCATTTAAAATAATAATTATATAGCTTATTTGGGCTTAAAGATACAAAATGACGAGATATACTGTGTAGGACATGGTAGCTCAATTGTTTAGAAATTTTTTGGTAAATCATAGAGCACGCGAGTAGTACACATTTAAATAAAACACTTTAACGGCTTAAAACGCGATATATTAGTTAAATTATATTATGTTATTATTAATATAAAACATAAACGTCTCTCTGTACTCTGTAATCTGCGGTATGCCAACGCTCATCGGAAGGGCCCAATCACTACATTCGCTTTGAACAGCCAAAAATCTAGAGTCCATTTTTACCAAGATTGGTACGCGAAGCAATTGAAATCAAAAAACACCAAAATTTCAATAGGGAGGAAGGCCGTCCCTCAAATTATCAAACACTTGGGATCCCATATTAAAAACTCTGGATCCCAATAAACAGCATACCGGCAAACGCGAAGACACCGTCAGTCAATTTTATAAGGACCCGACCAGTTTCGCCAAATACCAACTTCGACGGACCAGATGACGCTAGCGTAGCAATTTTCACTTTGATGTTACGAGACATCCTCCATCTTTAGTCTCCCCGTGACCAGAGCTGCTGCAAAGCATTCGAAACGTCTGGTCGGGCCGAAGTTAAACATAATATTTAAATAAGTTTAACTAATATATTGCGTTTTAAACGGTTACAGTGTTTTATTTAATAAAATCATAGAGCATACACTTGGCTACTTATTTAAAATATTAAAAACATATATTCTTATTGGAATATTTCTCGACATATGTATAACATCTCTCTTAACATATTGAAGTATTTAAGACCTCTTAAATCTTTAAAGCAATAATATTGAATTAGAAATTGTTTAAACAATTCACTAAAATTTAATTAAGGCAAGTCATCAGTCACCGCCTGGACCGGAGTCACTGCGCCAAGAAGATAACATAGGGTCAGGCTGCACTAAATACCCGTGCCGTGATGAATGTACCCTCGACGGACCTCAAATATGCCCCCGTTGACAGCACCCGGCTAAATGTTTGACTAACCCGTATCCTTAAACAAAATCCTTACTTGAAGGGGTATTTACCGAGTACAAACAGACGAGAAAATCATTGCCTCAAATGTATGCATTGATAAATCAATATAATGTGTTTAATATTTGAGACTAGATATTCATACATGAAAAAAACACTTTTAACGGTTTAAAACGCAATATATATTTGTTTACTTATTATAAGGGACCCGACGCTTCTGATGCTTTGTGGCATTGTGGTCGTGACGATGGGGGCATTTAAAATAAGTTAACTAATATATTTCGCGTTTTAAACCGCTGAAAGGGTTTTTTGATATTTATAGCTATTCACAGTATTTATGTGATGGAGGAGAATGGAGTATACACGATGGTAAGAGAAATACCTAAGTCATACGCCATCTGAACAAGATGCGCCGTCGATCTGTCTTGATTTCGGAAATATATTCGCAAATCCACTGACTGGAACCGAAACTCGATAAAACTCGACGGCTTTATCGTCTGTGGACGGTGGTTTGTGACCTGGATTCCAGATTTTCCAGACAAAGTCCAAAATGTTTCTCTTTAATAATACATTGATTATAAAAATGTTGGAACCGGTGTCAAAACCACGACGAGCAATACATTGCTACCACAACACCAATGGCCCTGTCAAGATTGATGTTTCCCTTATAAATGATGAATACCACAGTTTATTACAGAATCAAAGAAGCTATAATTATTCATAAGTTCGGTGGTCCACTAACGACGGACGAAATGCAAACATACCGAATATTAATTATTCAGTACATAGATAGATTATTAAATAGTGGAGTCGTGATGAAGTGGTGGTCCCCCTAATTGTGATTATCACTAACTGTGTGGACCTTACTGACCAGTCATTCATAATGCAACGCTGAAATTTCATTATAATCCCGGACGAATTTGTTCGTTTATCCTGTTGTATTATACATCGATAGAAGCTTTACAACATGGCAGTCACATTTTCAGTCCTCATTAAAATTTGTACGACAGCGTCTAAATTCTACTCTTTTCTCCGCACCTCCATTTCAATATACAGGAAAAAGTGGAAGAGCGCTGTGTACGTACCGAGTTGGGCTGGCAAAAGTTTTCCGTCCCACCCCCACGTGGGGGGGCAAAAAGTGTTGCCGACGGGTGAGCGTTTGTATTTATACCTATGTTGGGGAAAAGTTTTCCGTGTTGCGGGTAGGGGGGAGAGGGGGGGGCGCATGCGCCGTTTGCCCACCGCAGAGGTGACGTTACAGTCCTGCTCGGGACTGACGCTTAGACGCAAGGGGTATATGCGGAGGTATTACAAAATTACGTAATTTCAACACTACATACTTTCTTACCCATAGTATTAGCAAGGCACACATGTATTCTACAAGGTAATATAAAAAGCATTATCTAATACTGTCTGTAGTTTTCGCGAGTAGAACACATTTGAATAAAACACTTATAGGTTTTAAACGCGATATATATTAGTTAAACTTATTTGAAAATTATTTTAAAGACAGCTCGACTTTTCGGATGCAGCAGCCGACTACTTACTTACTTAGATACACGTCTGGCCGTAGTTAAAATAATTTTCAATTAAGTTAAACAAATGTATATCGCATTTTAAACCGTTAAATTGTTTTCTTTAAAAGCATTATATAATGTTTTAGCTGAAGAATTTGTTTGTTTGAACGCGCTAATCTCAGGAATTAGCGGTTTATTGAAAAATTCTTATTGTCTGTTATAAGAATATCTCGTTTGCATTTGGGGCGAAATTATGAGCATATCAATTGTCAATATTAGGAGGTCTCAAGTGGTCTTGGGTTATATTGGGGGCGCAATCGATACGGGCAGGCTCAAACGGTCGCACCCCGTACCAACTATAGGCTAACTCTTGACGACGCCTATATCCTTGGCACTATCGTATAGAATTTGATAACCCGATCTGTAACACGAATTGTCTAGTAACCGATTATGTTAGCAATGTATGACTATATAATCAACGGGACCCAACTGCATAATTGCATAATTCTGAAAAAAAAACCCTTATCATTTTATTATCAATGAGAACGCATAGCCTAGCGTTGCTTTAACTTCAAAAGATTGAAAAGTCACAAGTTTGATACCCTTCAAAACAATTATTTGTCATACGTTTCTGTGAGTTCCACTGATCGATTTTACTGTCCTGTTTGACCGAAAGAATTATGTTTCGCCTGGATTCGAAGCCAGGACCTCCAATTAGTGATAGTGTCAGCAACTGTGATGTTGTGTGACTTGTGAATTGATTGTTGATTGATTAATTACTTGCCTATTAAAAAATGACTTATTTGTGGTTATTTCAATGAAACACTTTTAACGGATTAAAACGAGCATTAATCAAAATGATATGTGTGATATTTTTCTTCCTACTTATTATCACCGAGTTTAGCGACAGACGCGAGACGAAACACGAAACAAAGATGAACTTGAACGACTCGCGCGCCACTTTCGCGAGTTGTTGTTACTGTTTGTTACCAACTAAATTTGAGTTGTTAAACTAAAGTTGTGGATATTTAAAGAGAAGTTTTTCTCGGAGTCAACGGCCGGTTAGACCGTCACCCAGTTTCAGAGTACCTACGGAGTTATGGCAGTTGTTCACAAACTTGGACCAGCGGGCAGAGGGCTGCAGTAAGGTCATGGCGCTAATTCGACCTTGCCTACAACTTCAGCACTGTTCTATGACTAGTTTAGTATGTAATTGCGGAGGATTAATTAAGCAGGCGAGTGGGAAAAAGACGTTTAACTTGGGAACTATCTTGTCTATGATATCGTTAACTCGTGTTTTGAAGGAAGGGTCACATGTGATAGGAAATATCTAGTTGAGTCTTCTGGCTTCTTAACAACGCGATAAGACTATATCTAGATAGAGATTATATATCACATGGTGTTTTAAAAAATATATTGTAATATTTAATATTCCTTTAATCTCTTTTGTTTCGGTATTATGTACAGACATAAATACTGTCTGCAGTTTACGCTAGTGGGACACATTTAAATAAAATACTTAACGGTTTAAAAGGCGATATATATTAGTTAAACTTTTCTTTGACGTCAGAGACAACTTCGGGCCGTAGTTCAAATAATTTTCAAATAAGTTTACTAACTAACTAACTAATATATATCGCGTTTTAAACCGTTAAAGTGTTTTATATAATTGTATAGACATGTATTTTTTATTTTATTTTTGACAATATCATTTAATGCAGGTCAAAAAACAATAGTAGCTTCTTGTACTTTATTTTAAATGTTATTGTTTTAAACAAATCTTCCAAATAACAGAAGCTTACTAAATTATATCTCTTTAGTATGCTGTGTTTTTGTCACATGGGGGTTTATATGAATTAAGAATCTATTTTCATTTAAAAATAATGCATCCACGAGAGTTTAACAACTACAGGGTTTGCGTGCTGTTGCGTTTTGTAATGTTATCAATATAAAATAAATCTATAATTTCATATATTTAGGTAGGATTAGTATGAAAATAAATTTATATTTAGTGCGTAATCTTTTATCAAGTATATATTTCTTCTTCTTCTATAAATTTAGCATAAATTACACGATAATAATCTCTTCGCTATCTCGTAACGGCTAAGCGAATAAAATCGTCACGAAATGGAATCATCCGCGGGCCGAGTTCTCGTCGAGACGAGTTAATTAACTCGATCTCCATCTACCCGTCAAAGGCTTCAAATAAATTGGCCAGGACAAAATAATGCGGAAGATAATAGCCGTTTAGGCATCGACCCGACGAACGCCCGCGCCGTGGGCGTAGCACCTGACTAACAAAATTAATTACAGCCCAATAAGGAAATATTAACCGGCCGCTTAATAAGCCATTCTTGATACACCACAATTAAATTGGGAGGGTCGAGAAGTCGTTATTTATAAACAATAATATATCAAAGAGATGTTTTCAAGATGGCGCGCACCACAGACTGTGCGGTTCTCTTGGTTAGCTGCATATAATTCTATTATACAGCATGTAATAAACAAATACACGTGTACACTAATCGTTATTAACAGACACAATTTTCAAAAGGAAAATCTTTCTTTGTACGTCTTCACTTAGAAATTATTAGTTAAAAACTATTATATTTCATAATTAATGTTATTGACGTGATTTTAAATGATATTAGCAATAAACCCTTTACATAATTATATATTTATTCAACCATAAGAACTTATCACTCGTACTCGATTTAGTGTTAAAGTAAATATCGTGTAGTAATTACTACAGTACTAGTACTACGTGCAACTTATAGCATCGAAAATGTTCCAGAGGTATATAATAATACCTTTGAATGTACTGTAAAAAACAACCGTTGGTATGACAAAATAATTAAACATAATTATTAGGGAATATTCTAGCGAGTGAAAATATCGTAATACGCGATGTAGTCGCGGAAGCAAAACATGGATCCTAACAGCGGCGGTAGCTGTATTTATGGGTATATGACGGAAAAGTTTTCGAGCTCCGGAGCCATCGATTTTCAAAACTTTTTCATGGAAATAAACCTACTTTCCTTGTGTTTGTGGTGCGTTGCTGTGAGCGTGATGGGTTTACTCACACAGATGCAATTCAGGTCACTTGATACAAATGATTTAAATCATTATTAGTGACTAATTTAAACATACAATTTATGTTTCGTTATATGGGGAGCTTAACATTTTTTATATCTTGATTTAATTTTATAACGTACAGCTGTTATGTGTTCTTCTTAGCATGGGTCAGTAATTAAGGTCATATTATAGTCTGAAAAGCAAGCAAGAAATGTGCTTAGAATTCTTGCCTTTTTACTAGATTCTGTAGTATTCCAAATTCAAAATTTTGTTTTGCACTGACATCACAATATCGAACGCTCGCACTCACACAAACTCCGCGTACTTGTAATGGGTCCGCAAAGAAAACTTTTTAAAACTTTTCCACCGAGGCAATATGGCTCGTGTTCTCAGCCGTTATGTTTTATTTAGGCTGCGATAAACCGTCTCTTTCTACTATACACTTTCGTATTGTACAGAGGGGGACAGACATACTTTACGACATGAGCCTTGAGCGGAGCGTTATGCCTTGCCCGGGATACGGAGTAATTATTTGTATTTTGTCATTCCAGTGTTTTTACGTTATTTTGTAAGTGGCGAGTTCTAAGCCACATTTTGCGTCGATTACTCAAATACGCTGTTAACACTAAAATAAATAAATCTCAAGTTACTGGTATTTATTAGGATGGATTGTAATATAGGCAGGCAAATTAGAAAGAGTTAAAATAAAGTTTATGTACTGTCTGTCGTTTACGCGAGTGGGACACATTAAAAAACTGTTTAAAAGTCGATATATATTACTTACACTTATTTTCGAAAGTATTATTAACTGCGGCTCGACCTTTAACTAATATATATCGCGTTCTAAACCGTTAAAGTATTTAATTTAATATAAATGAAAAAACAGCGTTGCCAGAGTATCTATTTTAAGATATAGTTGCACAAGTACCGAAACGTAAAGCGTAGCCTTTATTTTTTCTCTTTTCTAATATCCACATATTTCACGGATAATAAATTTCCTCTCGGCCTGACGTTCCTCGAAGGTGGTGTGCTGAAAGAATGCAGTCTCACGGTGCTCGTTTATCAAGATCGCCATCTGATTGTGGGTCTCAGCTGCGTTTTATTGTCGAATTACGCGCCCATTCAAATTTTAATTTATATTTCGTACGGAGTATTGGAGATTTGATATTTATCATTCGCACTCCACTTATCTTAATTCTTAAATGGCTAAAGGTTTATTGACTTCGGTGTAAAAACATTTGTTTTTAACTAGGTTCCAATGTTTCTAAAGAGAAGAGTAATATAGTTTTAACAACTAAACTCCGTATATATATTTTTTTGTTTAGACGTAAGTAAAAACAAAGTATTGTGCGACGTTTGCGTTAGTAATACACATTTAAATACATTTAACAGTTTAAAACGCGAAATCTCTTTTAAATTTCTTTGTTTGTGTCTTTCTTGACACCGGCAAAGCATCCTAATTCCTAATCGGATCGTAATTAAAACATAGTGTAAATGAGTTAAATAATATATTTCCCGTTTTAAACCTTTAAAAACGTTTTACATAAATGCATTTTTGGTAAAAATATATTTTTTATACGTATTTAAAAATATACTAAGCGTCAAAATTTTCTCAAACGTAAACCAACCTTTTCTCACTATCTCGCAGAGAGAGGTATTAAGTAATGTTCCATTTATATTATCTCACCGTCTTATCCCTAATCTTTATTCTCATTTTAAAAGCCTCGGCATTATCAAATAGAAGTCGATGTTAAATTACAAGCGGTCCGACTCCTTCGCGGGCTAACTCGTAAATTATCCCGCCTTTGTTTTATACTCTCATTACAAGAATTGCTTTTCTGGGCGCGAATATTAAAATAATTATGATATAAACGTACTGTTTCAACTGATTTCATTTTAGACATTGCTTTAGTATTGATTAAAAATCGATTTTTAGATTTAAAAAATTTACGACACGGGCGGGAAAGGAATCGGCAGTGGCTCGCACTGTCGCTCTAACCAATTGTGCTATCTTGTCTTACACGTCATCTTCGTCAGATCTCAAATATTTCTTCAATAGTAGATACTAAAGAAATAAAGAATGATTCTTTTCTTTGCTGTATTGGATGTAAGTACATAAAAAAAAACTTTAACTTAATATTTCTTCTCTGTAGTGTGGGTTATAAATAATAAAGCTATTATAATAATAAATAAATAAATGATTAGGTAGTAAGAAGAGGTCAGAAATAAGGATAATATTGTTTATAATATATTTTTCATTTAAAAAACAAGTCAGACAGGAACGAAAGCTAT